ATGCGATCGGCCCTCGCGATCGGCATTTTTAGAGAGCACCGATCGATCAGCAGAGAGTCGGCCGATCGATCGGAGCATCCCTACTGAAAGACTCTAGTCAATTACATCACATACATTTGATCTTTCGAAAGTTTATCAAATTCCATTTTCTTTAAGTTTGAAATAAATGTCCCTGCTCTACCTTGTACGGTATGGAAATGAAGATTATGTTATAATAATTTAATTATTGCACTCTGTAGTGTTGTTGTAATTCAGATTCAAGCTGTCGAAAGTGTCGCAGGGACAACAAAAGGATTTTCTCCCTGATGAGGCATCTGATGTCGCATAATGAGATAATGCAATTCTATTTCATTTGACTTGATTCAATTTGTCGTCTTGCAAATTCTAATAATCTATTGTAAATATAGCTTGAAGGTCACAATGACGCTGTAATGAGGAGAGCAGATAACATTCCCACATTTAGAGGACACAGCCATGAAAGACTTTAACTCTAATTTCGTTGAACCTTCAGGACCTGCTTCTAACACATGAAGGCAATTGCTGCTGAAATAAACAACCATGAAGATGGTTACCTTGTGATCATACTGTCTCAAACTATCCAAATATAACACTTCTTACATAGTATGAGAAATGTTCTCAAGATGCAATTGTGTTTTTGATGATGGCTAATGTTTAGGATATCAGTATGATGTTTCGTGCTGATGTAACCTTACTAAATAAATGGTAATCCACTGCAAGATATTCATGATAAATGGTTGCCAAAAGGGGGAAAAAATGGTCTTAGAAAATAACAGAATGAGACGCATAAAAGATGTATGTCCAGTATCCACACTATGAGAGTATAAATATGAATGAGATCGAGGCTCTGACTGTGGTTTATTACCATGAGATCTGGTCACTATTACCTTTTGGATATGCGTGCACCAGGACAGTTGTGCAGCTGTGAAAGTGAATACATGTCATGTTTCTAAGACCCCATTTACACGCAAACGCATACGAAATGCAAACGAACCAAATACGATATCAAAAAAGTCTTCCGTTCACATGAGACCGCTCGGGAGCGTTGGAGACGCTGTATACATATGCCGGGCCTGTAAGTGGCGCTGTACTTCCGCCACAAAATACAACAAAAGCAGCGAAGAAGACCCCCGAGCATGGTTGCCATGGTTGCCCTTCTGTTTATGCCCCGCGGTGGATAGTGGATTTAGCAACATGTAGTTCATGTAATTCTCCATGTCCACTTGTTGCTGATGGTTGTGGTAGAGGAGCTGTAGATGTTGCACTAACATCTGTCATCGGTCAGTAGTAGCTACTGACAGTAGCTACTGACAGTAGCAGCAGAGGTGGGGCTATGGCTTCATCGTTATCAGGAAAATAATCGTATAGGGCGCACACACGGAGCCGTTTGCCCCCCCCCAGTAAAAAAAAAAACGTAACCATTTCCTAATCAAACCTAAATATATAATAACACATAGTTACTTGATCAACAATTAGTTACCCCGCACATGTTTTCAAAAATATTTATACAGTAATCATTTGATATATTTTCATATTTTAGTGCCTAATGAGAAATTGACAAACTGTGGTGTAAAGTAACATTTCATATTATCTGTTACAGACTGACATTCAGTTTATTGTGTTTCATAAACAATGCATGCTCTGGATCATTAGCATCATTCAAAGAAACTAAGCGTGTCCCACAGATTTATGACTTCCAGTTATCCAGAGAACATATGTTATATTTGTTTACACTGGACTAGAACAACCTCTAATGGCTGCACTTTATACCCTACAGCTCATCCGAGTGTGTGCGTGTGGGTGTGTGTTTGTGTTAAAGAAAATGTGAGAATGGGCAATAGAATCAGTCAAATGAATATCCAAATAATTTTCATAATTTTCAAGTAATTTAATATATTTTTTACTAGCAAAATAATCATGTGGGCAGTCTTTACACTCATTAAATTAACTTTGGTAGATTTTGTTTTATTCAAAATGTGTTTAGAATCAACACAAACACAAGGCATTCACCCATCTACTAAACAGTTTGACAAAAGATGGACATTGTAAACAAACCGCAGTACACATTCAGTTACCGAATGCTGGCAGTATGTGTGCAGATCACACAAGCAGCAAAGCCCTTCTTCTGGTCACCATGTGAGTAGCTGAAGGATGTTGGCTCTCCAGCCCATCATGCTCCCCCTCTTGAGGACACCATCACACTTCCTGTCTCTAAAGTGGACCTTCTTTCCGAGCTGCTGTTAATTACTCCGTGCCTAAGAGTCTCATGAGCCATCTTTTGCTTTGAAACATGCACAGCAGCTAAAGTAGAAGAGCCAAGGGGGAGATCCAGACTTACTTGACCTCAGCACGGGTCAGTTTCTATAAACCAGGCAATCAATGAAGCGCATGCATGTTAAGGTGTGTTCTATTTAAAGACAGTATTAACCGAGTTCAGCTTGAATCTTAAAGGTCTCCTATCATGCAAAATGCACTTTTTGATGTTTTTTATACATAGATATATGTCCCCGGTGTATCAGGAAACTCACAAAGTGTCAGAGAACAAAACCCTCTCTCTTTTCTTCCGTACCCAAATCTCTAAAAACGGGGGTACAACCAAGCTGATCCAAATTTGCTGCAGATATGACGTAATATCGGAAATGTGGCCTGGCTTTACACCCACGGCCCTATCAGAAACGTCGCTATCAGAAACAATGCGCGACGTGTTTTGGAAGTAAAAAAGCATTTGAGCTTCATACTGTTTCAGACTACTCCTTGAAGTGGTTTGGAACATGATATGGCGTTTAATCAGCCTGCTCGTCACAGAACTCACAGTGTGCCTGCTGATCAAAAGGGGGCGGGGCCAGCCCTTCTCTAACAGGGCTGAAATAGAGGGTTATGAGGGATGTCTAAAATGCATGATCTGTTTGGTATTTTGAGCAAAACACATCATAGACATGTTTTTTTATATATTTCTGAGACTCATAATATATGCCTAAAAATAGCATGATAGGAGATCTTTAAAGTCTGCTGCGTTGCTGTTGCTCCAACTTCCTCCACAGATGCCAAGATACAACCCACTTCCCAAGTATTAATCTGCACAGACAAACAACATCAGAGATATGCTGACCATTACATGCCAGGGAGAGGAAAAAAGCGTTCCTCTCCTCTATCGCCCATTTTTGCTGCTTGTCTTCACATTTCTGTCCTCCCTGACTCGACTCTGAAGAATGTTTCATTTCCCCTGTGGGACCGAACACACCTGCTAGTCCTCCACTCAGCATCAGAAAGCATTTCAGAAGCATCCAGTGCTGCCCAAATCCATCTGTCTCCTCTCTAAAAGTTCATCTCAATCTCTCCCTCCATCCTTCAGGTTAAGAGTGCTTGGCTCTCAGTCGTCTGAGTCGCCTCTAAATCCTTCTTACTCTGTCTCTCTGCTTCTACAACTCATTGATTGGGATTCAGTTTCTTGCTATACTTTGATAAGTAATTCTAAGCTTCAAACTGATTTTGAATACCTACCTTCAAAGAGAAAACCCTATTTCATATTTCATTAGTTTGAAAAGTCACCCTGACAGGATGTATTACATGTACAGCACTTTGGCTCGACCACAAATCGTTTTTTATGTGCTATATAAATAAAACTTGATTTGATTTGATTTAGACGAGGCTGAGAGAAATTTCTGCTGAGCTTCATTGTGAGTCCAGGGCACATATGGATTTACTAGACCAACATTTGCCTTTCTTAATCTACCGATGCCGGCTTAGTGTTGGCCATGGTTTGTGTTTACACCAGCTGTCAGGTCTGTTCTCTGAGACACACTGCCTCCCTGTGGAGTAAAGCTGTAACTGGCACAAAGCTACAAAAGTTGCTCTGTAGTCTTCAGTGCTTCACATTCACAGGGACAAATTACCCCATCAACGTACAGTGTTGATTCTTTACTATTTTCATTTTCCCTCCTTTAGAAACTCTCCCATTACAAAAAAAACCGTTTTAAATTGTTTGCAAATTCCATCATAATCACCTCATTTGTTTTTCATGGTAATGTCATTCTCCTCTTTGACATTCAATGTTGTTGATCCAAGCACCAACTTTAGAATATTCCAGTTTAAAGCAATTATTTAATTTGCCTGAAATACAGATCACTCAAAATCAAAACATTTGGTTCTGAAATGGTGTTCAGGTGTAGCAATATCAGACCAGTGGGACAGTTATGGGCAATTATTGTTTTGAACACCTTCCTCCATAAAGGAGAATAAGTAGAAGAGCCAGAGAGTGAATGACTGTCATGTTTGACAGGTTCGAGATATAAAGCAGCCGGTCCCATCACATCACAGCACAAATTAATGCAAGGTCCAAATTTTCTCCGGTGTTGTGAATGGTGGAAGTACACATGAGGGAGGCCTGGTGGCAGACAAATGGAGCTGTAGTACTCCAGATGGGAAGCATTAGTACATTATTAGTTATCATATTGTAGTGGGGTTGTATTGTGATTATACGGATTATACGCATTTACAATATTGTGGCATACTGTATATTGGATAATTGTTCTGGTTAATGTGTTTCTATTGTCCCACTTATCGCCCAGCCTTATAATAGGATATATTACTTTAAGCTGATATTTCTATCCGAAGCGACTGACATTAAGTGCATTCAACCATGAATAAACTAAAAAACGGAATTCTGCAAGTAACTTCGATTATAATCTTTTAATGCTAAATACTATACATTGCCTTCAAATAAGCCGGAAATGGCCGCTTACATAAGTGAAAAACTGCAGAACTACAGAATACAATACATTCCTATTGTATTCTTTTGGCCAAGGTGCAGTTTTTCTTCTACTTATTGTTTTATTCAGTGTTCCCAGAGCTCTGTAGAAGAGGGAATCTGATCAACATCCTTGAACCAGTAGTCTGTAAAAACTTCAAATTGTATCAAAGATGAGTAAAGTTGGACTCACAGTGCAGAACTGCGTTATTCAATGATGAATTAGGCAAACAAGTCAGTCTTCACGTATTTATTTTTATTGGCAGCAGGCACGGTCTGCTCTGTAGAATAGAACACATCAGTCCCTGAACAGAAACGTTTCTTTCCCGCTTCACTAATAATGAACAACTTAATTCCCTGTGTTTTTGTTGAACTGTTATGCATTTCTTTAAAAAATAGTAAGCATGAATACATGTGTTGCATACATTTACAATGTAATAATAGCCCTCTGTCTGAGGTTACCAGAAACTGAAGAGAAATCAACGTACTGTACACAAATGTATGGCCCTTCAGCAGATTAGTGTTTGTCATAACTTACATTCAGATGATTCAACACGTACACACACACCTTCAGTCTTAGCACTTGGTATCATAAATACTGTAACATGTTCTTTATCTTCCCCAAATGGGCAACTGTTGTGAAGTTATGGGCAGCATCGAACAATGTGCCATAGAAATGTTTCTATGAAGTCATTTTAATAGTGCCAGAGAAATGTTTAACATTTAACAATAACAACACATTCTCGGAGGACAAATGATTCATAATGTCAGTGCGACCGTTAAAAATATAAATACAATCTGCAAAAGTCCTTTAACATGTACAATGGACATTCAGTAATATGCGTGCTTCTAATAATCCAAGTGTAATAAATATATTTAATGATTAATAATCTCTCACTCAATAACATTGCTAGTTTAACTCCTTAATTATTAAGGATTTCAGCAGATCACTGGCAGCATCAGAGCCACACAGTTTGAAATATTCATTCACTGACAGACAGTGGCCCAGTCCCAATGCGTCACCTCGGACTGAACCGATACCTGATCAGCATTATATCCATCGTATTTCAATAATGGGTTCATAAAACTCATAAAATAGTCTAATAAGAATTGCAGTAAGTAGATGTCTGGGCATTCCCGAGGGTGGACACTGGAACTGGGTCAGTGATGAAAAAAAACGTCCCTTCAGCAACAAACGGATAAAAGCAATATCACGCTCTTTAGAACCAACATTCGGATATTTCAAGTCACTCCATTTACAATTACATTCAGAAACAAACATGTTTGATATTACTTTTTTTTTTACCCACGCACTTCATTTTTGACAAAATAAGTTATAAGCTGTCAGATGTATGCGTGTGATCCAGATTTACAAAGGAAATATGGTGGAAAAGAAAGTGAATCCGACAAAGCAAATGTGTTCGTCACAGTGCTAACCAGGTGTCTGTATAGCTGTAGCTGTTCTGCATTACTGTTTATGTGCTACATGTCCCTGTGGAGGAGGAAATAAACTCAAACTCATTAGAAGATGAAAACAAAATGCCAAAAAATACACAAATGAGCCTGTCCGGGCATCCTCATTAACTTTCTCTACTGCATTCAAATAATAAAGTTCTTAAATTGTACAAACCCATAATCGAATGACATACAGTATGATTTTAGGCACGTAAGAACAGATCACACATTAAAGCCCCAATCTGGATTGATTTAGAAAATACATTTTTCTTACATACACATATTAAGGGGGAGAACACAAGAGTTGCTGGTAGAAAACAATCTCTAGTGCCAATGCTACTCCATATGACAATATCACTTCCATTTCATTCCAGTGCAATTAAGGTTTTCAAAATGTCACATTGGCCCGAACATAAGGTGACAATGGTTTGCAACAAGGGAGGAAAATTAGCCATGTTTATATAAAAATACGGTACAGCAAAGCTTGCCTCATTCAGGACTAGCAGAAAGCTTAATCTTGGCTGAATCCTCATAATGGAAGAGAGTTCTTGTTCTGTTCCTGGTTTGATTTAGCATTAGCTGCAAGCTCGAACTGTAGACTGAACACTGGCAGGACCTGACTTAAAAAATAATCAGTGGGCACGCACATTTCAAATATGTCAAAGACTACAGACTTGTAATAGATGAGGGTCATCAATGCTTTCATTCGATTTTGGATTTCCAATGTTACGGTACAAACTTGCCCGCCTCCCAACATGATGACACAGGACTTCTTTAAAGTGCAGTAACAGTAACATCTGCTCAGTAAATGCATGACTGTGTAGTCCTGAAATATACTTTTCCTCATAAATCATATTATATTCTGGCCAGTACATTACATTTGTAATTAATGTCATTTTCTCCAAAATTGTACTCAATCAGGTTGAATATGAAAATGAGACTGAAAAGCTGCGCAGTACTTTCACCAGATTGGGTCTTTAATATTATACCTTATATGACAGTATATTGCATGTACAACATACAAATTACAATGGACACAGAGGAAGGCAACACACTCCAGCATCAGCAGTCTGCTCCGACAGTTTATGAGTATAACACAGTGTTAGTGTCAGACACTACTGCTTTATTCACCAGCCTTTCACGTCTACTGGCGATTGTTTCAATAATTAGTTGGAGTATGGACTGGTTAGGAGTAGAGATGGTTTATCGTGTAGTTTAGTGTTTGAGGACTGCACTGTTCATCACACTACCTTCAGGATGTCTATAGTCATGTAGGTTATTTGGCTTTGCAATTTTGTATGCATGCACATACACATCTAGTCTCAGTGCATATGAGCTAACACACTGAACCTTTCCCTTTATGTCCCACTCTCGTCGTTACCTATCAACTGCCACAGTCCATCGTTGGGCCTGGCGTGTCTCTGCTTTAAGTCTGCATTGTGACTGTTTCCACTTCATGTAGAGTTTGTGGTGTGTGTTTGGCCTGGGTGTGATTTCTTTCCTGTGTGGACACTGTGTGTGGGGTTTGCATCGTATGTGGTATGACTATCTCTGTGCTGGGGGGGCCTCCTGGGTCTTTCATCGCCATACTGGCCCCCACCATGGCCGGATAGCTTCGATTCCTCCTCAGCCCTGCGTTCAGTCCTGGAAGCCCCCCCCCCAGTGCACTGTTTGCCAGTCCAGTTGGCCCAAAGGGGGCTAACAGAGCACTCCCAGTTGAAGCAGAAGCAGCGTGATGGGGGAGAGTGCGGAAACGTTTCAGTTTGTCTACAAGTCGCAGGTTCAGCTTCTCCGATTGGCTCTCATCATCCGTGTCCCCCGCTCGCTCCCTCTCCGCCTCCCCCAGCACCTCCCTCAGAATGGTTCGAGCCGGCTTCGAGGCGAGGAAGGTGTCGAAAAATGGCGGGTCCTCAGTGGAAGGGCTGAACTGGAAAACTGGCCGGGTGTTGGTGGAAGAGGCAGATTTGGAGCGAGGGGAGTTGGGCGGGGTGGAGGGCTGCAGGAGGAGGGAGTCCGGGCGTTTCAACACTCGTCTGCGTTCCGGCTCCGGGGAATCGGTGATACTCCGTGCTTGTGCTCCTCTCACCGGTGTGGAAGCTCCGCTGGTGTCCAAACCTCGGTCCCAGCTGCAGGGGTCGTACACTGAGGCGGAAATCCCATGTTCCAGCAGGAGGTGCACCAGGCCCAGGGACGTGCTGGTGGTCTTGGTGGAGTCTCGGAGGTTGGTGGAGGATTCGGCCATTGAGAGGGACAGGGAGAGTCGGCGTGGGGTGCAGCAGGGGGTGTAGGAAGGTGTAGAGGAGGTGGTGGTGGTGGTAGGGGTGCCGATATAAGCACTGCTCTGACAAGAAGACAGAGCTGAGCTGCAGATGGAAGAGTGAGGGGAGAGAAGGGGGGGAGGAACAAGCAGGTGTGCATAGAGAATGGGTGATAGGACAGAAATAAGCAGACATGAATGAATAAGTATTAATACTTGGCTTTTAGTAACAATTAAGACTCATTATTTATTAAAGGTACAACCCTGAACATAGTCATGCAGGAATTAACACTATATGGGCAGCTGAGATGTGTAGCTCAGTTTAGGCCTCATCTAAGCCGAAGTATTTGTTGGCCCCCATGTCTTTGTCAAATGACAACCAAAGCCACAAAAAAAAATTATAATTACATGTTTTTTTTATTATTATTCGGAACCAAATTGCAACTAATCTATATCTACTGTCACTTTTCACATGTGCTCTTTTATTAAATAAACTAAACGTTTTTATTTTAAGTTGTGAGTTTAGTGTTTTTGACCCTAAGAAACACTGATGCACTAATTAATAACAATAATCCACAGCTCCTCTCTCTGCTCCAGAGGATTAAAAAATATATCCCAATGACATCCCCCCACCCCCACTCAGGCAGCACCCCCCCAAAGCAGTAAAGCTAGGGGAAACACTGATATATATATATATATATATATATATATATATATGTATACCATACCGAAATCAGATCCGGTATTGTTTTATTATAAAGATTGTATGTGTGCTGCTCCTCTAGCTTGGAACACTATGCAACATTTTTTGAAACTGAGCATTTTGGTTCCCCTGCATCATTTTAAAGCTCGGATAGATGAAACGTTATTTGATACCTGTCATTGTGAATAGGTTGTAATTTGTACCCCTGTAATTATGTTGTATGATGTCCTTTTTGTTTTCTGTTGTTTTTATGTGTAACCAATGTGCTGCAGGTCTCCCTTGAAAAAGAGATCGTTGATCTCAATGGGATTTTACCTGGTTAAATAAAGGCTACAAACAAACAATACCCTTAAACTCGCGCCCAAACCGTTGAAATGACGATGTCAATTTCGCCGTGAAACTCCGCAAACGAGTCGACATCCGCAAGCCAATCAGATCGCGCGTCTTGCAACAGCTTCGGTGATTGGCTTGATTGCCAAGCAACGCCCTTCACCTTCCTCCCGAACGTCTGAGCTTTTCGGTTATCTTTCGTTTTTTCACGGCACGAAAATCTAAAGTGTGGCGGCATATGACTGCCAGTCTGAATGGTGGGGTCTGTAACCACTGCAAGAAGTTTATTTCTGGGAAAGGCGGCAACACATCCAACCTCTCAAAACATTTGCTACTGTCACATAAAATCAGAGTACAGGTATGTACAGTCTTCAAGCCCTTGTTGTCAAACGTGTTTTCCATTGTTTGTTCAGTACTAAAAGGTCAAAGTCCCACAATTAATTTGAATATTTATTTGACATGTTAACTATATCATAAAGCGCTTCATGGGAGTAATTGCGGGATGATTCAATTGTTCCCTTATGCAACATGAAAGTATCACGATATGTATATCGGTCGAGTATAGGTATCGTTCAGTGGTATCGGTATCGTAAAAAAGTCAACGATATGCATCCCCTAGGTTAGGGTCAGTCTCTGGACTGAATGTGGGGAATGCAGCAAGGACCCAAGCAATGCCTGAGGCCAGCCATGAATTCACCCTCACCCTCTTATAAGACAACTTGTTATCCACCCTCCGAAATACCACAACAAAGTGACATGAAGACACCTGAGCCATGAATAAAGAGGCTGGATGTGGTTAAAAGCTCTAAAAGTTAGGGTGTGGTTAGGTTATTATCAGAGCAACCACTGATTATTTCTAACAAGTTGAAGTCAGTTAGGAAAATGTTAACAGGTAGCATTAGAGGCTAACTACATTTAGGGGTAAAGTTAGGGGCAAGCTGCTGTTATTGTGGTTAACACACACCCACATTCTTAGGAATGCACTCCCATGCATTGCCTCACCCATGTGCACCTGAGTGGGTGCACTCAATGGGTCTGCTCTACGCCGGGCATGACAACCATATCATACAACTCCACTTCATCTTCCTCATCACATGACCTGCCAAGGCCAATCAGACAGCAGGGACACAAAGTATGAAGTCAGCCAGGTGCTGAGGCATCAGTTTCCCTGCCTCAAAATCTATCAGAGGGGAACAAGAGGGGGTTCCCTCCTTGGATGAGAGGGGCTATTTGATTTACAGTATAAGTGGAGACTTTTTTAAAGAAGCCCTGTGAGGCAGGTAGTAGACGAGATGAGTTCTGGTGATCCATTCCTGAGTCTGATCTAAAGTGTTTTCTCTAAGGTGTTTATGACTTGAGAAAAGCTGATTAAAGGTTTACATCATCTATTGCCAGGATAATTATTCCATCTTAAAATGTGTGTTATTGTAATACTCATTTTGGCCTCAAGAGGCAGAAGTGCACCACTTACCCATATTCTAAATTGGAATAAATTAATTCATGTTTTCTTCCAGGTGAGTAGTAATGTTTACCTGTAAACATGTTACATTAATGTCATGTCTTTTTGGCAAGACATTTGAATTGAATTGGTTCTTATCACCATTAGGAAAAACACATCAATGAGATAAGCATTGAGTAACTTGACTTTGATTTTCCCATTGGCTTTTTTTCTTCACCTGATTCACAGATTAAGAAAGTATGAAATATTATTTTTCTAAGGACACCAGTTCTTAACTCATAATGACAGAACACATTGATATCAGACCTAGAAAAAGATCACCAGATATTGTTTCCACACCTCTTTACCGTAGATAACCCTTTCAGACATATTACTGTTACTACAGTTGGTTGTCATTATTTTCTACTGAAGGCTTCCTTTTTACATCAGATGTAGCAGCAGCTCCTTCTCTTCATGGGCTATTTGGTAAAATTCTAACGTAATACTACAAGTAGAAAAAAATGTACGACATCTGATATCATTTGTTTATAACGGCAAACTACTAAAAAAAACTAAACGGTACAAATAGCAGTCTGTAATTGAAGATATTTACCTTTGGGATACAGAAGTCAGCTGATCCAAGGGGTGGAGGATCCTGCAGGTGGTGTAGGTGTATGTAGAGCTAGTAGTGGACATACACTTCCCTGGGAAATTTACTAGAGAGGAGAACAGAGGAGAAGGCCCTTAGTACTCAGACAAAAGGTACCAAGCATCGCTGCAAATACGCTGTACACAGAGTGGAGAAAATATAGATTATGATTATAGTAAAAGCCCCAAGAAAAAACACCAGCGTGCAATAGAATTACATTTACGGGGAAAATGATTAAAGCAAGAAAAGCTGTAAACTTTCTGTGTACATTTGGACGTCTGACTATATAGTTTTAAGGCAGAAGTAAATGGGTAATCACTATCCCCCTGAAAAGGAAGCGACATATATTACACTGTATGGGTAATTATATCCCATTTTTATGGGTGTTTTGATTTGGGTGTTATTCGTTTGTAGTGATGTCATTTTAGATTTTGGGAAATAATTGTATTTCTGTGGTTTATCATAAATCTCACTAACATTTTATTGTATGCACCCCATACAAATTCATATCTGAAGGTGACCTACCATTCACCGGAGCTACAGCCAGGTCAACTCTAATATAAACCAGCTGCGGGTGTCATGTGATCATGTGACTTGGACAGCTGCACTAATAACACCTGATATACACGTACGTGCTCACATACTGGAGCCAAGCCATGGTATTTGTGGGTGTGCGTGTTTTGTTTTAGTATCCACTGCTAGAAGACAGTAGTTAAGCACAATATTTAGGAATCAAATTTCTAGAAATTACACCAAAACAAAAAAAGGCACTATTACATTGTAATTGTAAAAATGCGAAAGACACTTTAGGAAGTTATCAAGTTGATGAAGAGGATAGTTATGGACGAAGAGTACATCATAATTGTGATTGGTTGGAAAAGGTATAGTGTGGCAGCTAAAGAAGGTTTGAAATGAGAAGGAAGAATATGAGGATTTAAATGAATAAACAAAAAACATGTACTCTGTTCTGATGGGGTTCGATCACTGCACACACAAGGACGGCCAGTGGATGGGATGGGTGGGGGTTCGTGAGCATGAGCGTGCAGGAAGGGACGTCATATTTGGGTTGTGAGATGTCCGGTGAATGAATCCCCAATCCCTCGCCGTCCCCCCCCCCCCCCCCCCCTCCCCTCCCCTCCCCTCCCCTCTATCCCTATTCTCCAGGGTTACAAGGGTGGGTGCAGTGACCTCAGCTAAGTGCTCGCTCACCAGGCAGACGGTCCATTGGGCTGGCCTGTAGGGCCTGGAGCTCCTTCAGGTCCACATGTCCGTTCATCTCTGAAGAAGAGGGGAGTGGGGAGGAAGAGGAGCAGGAGAAGGGAAGGGGCATATCTGCAACATGTCCATCTTTTACATGAATGGCTTCTGGAGCCCTGCACATGTCTCCTTGCAATGTTTCTGATTGGCTATTCTCATCAATGTCCTTTTTGTTATAGCAGACAGGGGGAGAAGAGTGAGGCACGTCCATGTCAGCGGAACTCTCGCCAGACAAGACAGAGAAGGAGTCACATGACACTTCGTCCTCCTCCGGTTGGTCCAGCTGCCAGCCCTCTTCCTGTTCCTCCTGCTCTAAAGTGCAGAAGCCCTTTGTGACCACACCGGGCCGATGATCCAGCAAAGCGCCCATGTGGGGTTGAGCCAACTGCTGCCAGGCATGGAGGGTCGCAGAGCCTGAGGGTTAAAGGTCAGAGCAAAAACAAATGATGTTATATAATTCCATTTATCAAATAATGCTCTCTGCCACATCTCATCAAAAAGATCAATTGTCTTTATATGGGGCAGTGTTGGGGATAATTACAAGATCTGATTCAAATGTTATTCCATGTTTCAATCCTAACAAAAGCTTCTTCACTTTTATCTTAGGTTAAATGATATCTAAAAATGTGTATTTTGGTATTAATTAGAGCTTAATACGGCTATCCCATCCAAATTCAGCTTCACATTATATAAGAGTATCACATTCCTTCAGTAAATGTAATTTCTATGTATGAATGTGTACACAGATTCTCCAGCTGTTTCCTGGCAGACATACTGCATATTACCCATATGCACACACGCACCAGAAGGGAGACAGTTGCACAATCCATGTTACATACGTGTACTCAGACAGGCAAAGGCATTTATTAAACTCTCTGAACTTTGTTACATTTGTCTCATTTCAAGTCCAATGAATGCTTGTTTTATCTCAGGAAAGGTGAAGGTAGTGTGAGAAATGTCAGTACACAAACAAACAAAAATAAGAGTAGCACCAAAAGAAGGAGGAAAAAGGGGAAGGTGAGAAAATTAGTAAGATTTTATTCAAGAAATCAAAGGAAACAAACAAGTTGAACAGAAATGAAGTAAAGTGCAAAAACAAGACAACACCGAAAAGGGAAAGGAAAGGAGTGAAAAGGATCAAAAGTACATACAGTAGTATGGCACAAATGTAGCAAAAATAAATCTGTAAAATGGGTAAATGTAAGGCTCACATTGTAGGATGGCTGTTAAAATATCTGTTTCCATTCTAGTTTATTTTCTGTTCATCTGACAGCAGCCATAATTATAATCACAGACCACTGACCAACCTTCATTAGACTTGAAATCAATCATTGCGTTTAGTTTAATCTTCTTCTGCCTTGCACATCATGTACCTGTTAGTGTCAAACTCTGTCACAACCATGAGTGTTGTGACAGAGTTTGAACACTAGGTGGTGCCACTAAACAGAAAGACCTCTAAAACATCAGTTTTTAGCAGTTGTTTTCCTTTTAGGGGAAAACATGTTAAGTGATAAACGTTTTAAGGAAAGCAATTATTTGAATTGCTAAGGCTTTTTTAACCAACTAAATACTATTAGACAGTGAGTACTTAAGATACAATTTCTCCCCCCATATACTATCACTGCATTATTGTCCACAACCATTACCATATGAAAATAAATAATCGTAGGATTGAAAAAAGAAGGTGCCATTTAAAGTACAACATACTGACTCACTCACTGCAAATACAATAAATACTTCTTCTTCATGGTATGGTCTACATTTTTATATATCTTAAAAACCTGCTTTGAAAGAGATAAACAGCACAAATCTTTATGTAAAATATAAAGCGGTGTTAATGGCTTATTGACAGGGGGTGCAGGAAGGTGAAGGTGTGGTAGAGAAGGGTTAAAGGGGAGGAGGTGGGGGTGGTGGTGCCGATACCTCACAAAGTATGATGTAGTAATCTACATTTCAAACCAGCAGCGTGGCTGTGTGTGTCTGAAATAAAAGGAGTGCTGGAGACTTAAAGGGCCCTCCTGTGGATCCAGCACCTCCAGCAGGCCTGTGACTAAAGCTAGTGAAGCTACGAGGGAGGGCCGCAGGATGCTCAGCTCCGACAAACTGGAGCTCCTCTGCCGGCCCTTAGGGTCCTCAGAGGCTCTCACAAAGATTTGAGACTGACTGCTGCGTTGAAAACAGAGATATTGATCCTGCTGCTGGTTCTGAGGAGACGGGCTCTGACTAGCTTGTAGGAATCTGTTTAAATTGGGGTGCTAGGCTCAGTTTCTGACTCTGCTGAGGGCTCTCAACATGTTCCTTTTCTTTTTGCGGGGGGGTCTGATTTTGACTCTTTTTCTCAATATGTGGAGGATCAGAGGACTTGTGCCTCTCAGAGGAATAATCACCTTCTAGCGGCTTTACAATCTGCAGCTTATCGGGCAGGTAGGACCTGGCTGTGAAAGAGTACCCCGACCAGACACTTCCGAAGGAGGGATGCGAGCACATCGACAGCAGGCTCTCTGTGGGCGTCCCCGGGCCCCCACTGCTCCCCTCACCCCCCTTTTCTTCGTCTTTGGCCAGATAAGCCAGCTTTCTCTCCCTCTCATCCTCGAAGAAGCGCTTCTCTGAGAGGTAGTTGTCGCGGCGCAGGGACAGGCGTCGCAGGGCTGCCTCCAGGTCCCTGCCGCCCGGCGTCCCTGGGGTCCCAGGGGGCCGCTTGTTAGAGTCCTCTGACCTGGGGAGGACAACGTAGTTAATATTGTTGAGTTTTCTTATAGCAGTGTGTCTCTCTCTATGTTTTGTTAGTCACCTATTGTTTTAGATGAGAATACAAATGAAGAAGTTGAGGACTGAAACGTATGCACCAAACAGATATGGAAACTCTAACATAAACCATAGAAACACTTTTGTGTAAGGGTGACTGAAATCCCTTTTGTTACTAACACAATGAGGAAGAACCGGGAAACAAATGGTAAAGAACTGTACGTCAGGTAAAGTAAACAATCAAGAGGATTACAAAGTGAATGTGTTTGGCATAGTGGATCTGTCCGTACCCATCGTCCGGACCCTGCATGATACTGCCTGTCCTGTTGTCCAGGATGATCCCGCTCCCGCTGTCGTTGCCATATAAGGAGTTGCAGGGCGGGGTGCCCACCCTGCTGGAGCGCTCTGAGGTGAGGCATGAGGTCTGATTGGAGCCGGGGATGTTGAGGGAGGAGGCGAGGGAGGAACGCTGCTGACGCATCAGGTTCAGGTTCTTCACCGTCTGGAACACTCGCTTTGGTTGCATTCTGTAGGAACATGATCACATATTCATACACTGAGATCTAAATAATCCAAACTGTGTTCATGTTCAGTTTTCCCCCAAATTAAAAGGCATAATCGGTCAGTGGCTGAAAAAACGTTGTTAATGCTTTAAAGAAATGAACCCTTGCTATCAAAGAAAGGGCTGAATGTAGGGAAAGTTCCCAAATGTATTTAAAACAATGATGTACGACCCTGAGGAACTAGAATGAAAATGTAAGGCTTTATATCTATTTAGTTACTATTTTTATAATTAATAAATGTTGTTTAGGATATGTATAAACCTTCTTTAGTTAAATATAATTAAAAGCATATGGTTCAATAAATAAACCTAGAAAATATTACTAGTCATTTCTTTTTCCTTTCAAGGTGCCCCAGGCTCCTACATGACAGACCTCTGCTCTTCTACATCCGGATCGTCATTCTGGAGCTCCTTCCTCATGGTGCCCTCTATTTCTGCTGCCAGAGAGTCCTGCAGAAGACAAGGTAAATGATTTTGATTGATAGCGACTGAGAGCATGGTGCTGTGATACTGATGGACGTGTTCATGAGTGTAAGCTCACCATGGGGAACAGACCCAGAGAATGGAAGCGCCTCGTTGTGCTGAGCGGTAGAGTTTTATTCCTCAGGTTCTTCAGCTCCTCCTGAGCCTCGTGAAGCATCTCCATGCACTCTGCATACTTATCTTGTAACTCTAGCAACTGGAGGAAGGGGGAGGATATTAAGAACAGAATTACAATTCAAATGGACTGGGCTTCATTTAGTTTGGGATTAAATTGCACTTTGCAATATAGACTTCGTACCTGGAGTGTTGTTATATAGAAGTCTGAAATGTGCTTTATTATATAATTATTTCATCTTGGGTGTATCCTATGTAGTGCTCTTTTTTTTAATTCATGGTTTCATTGATAGCGTAGGTGGTCGGCGTGTTGATGATATCCTTACCTCAGCGGTGAGTTGTCGCTGGGCGTCTTTGGCTGCACCTAAGTGCTGAGTCAGCTCCTCGTTTTCCACCGCATACTACAAACACCACAGAGAAAACATAGGATATTAATAACAAATACATGAAAAGTATTCTGTCTCTGCTTTATTACATTGCAAAGGTATAAATACAACAAAACATAGTTAAGCAAACAGAAGATATTTATTTTGTATTAGTATGGAAGATATCAGTTTCTCTTACCATCTTGGCCTTCTTCTGGAGGTCTACTATCTGAGAGAGGAGGTGTGTGATCTCCTCCTGCTGTCTGGAGGCGTCCTCACTCTTTCTGGCCAGATCATCAGCCAGAGTGGAAATCTGCACGTTGGCATCACCTGGAAACATCAGATACATAATATATTTAATATAAAAATACCAAAATGACATAATGTGACTTTAATCAATCCAATACTCACGTAGTTCTTTGACACAGTCATTGACAAGTTGCAGCTCCTTCTCCTCATATGAGATCGTTTCTGTCTCCAAATGAATGGCCTGAAACAACAAAATGGACAATAACAATCAAAATACACACTGGACATTAATAATCACCTCAGTAACTAACTTGTTGAAGGAAATAGCTTTCACAGCTTGTGCGTACCTCAGATCGCAATGATTTGTTTTCCTCCTCCAGATCTTTAAGTTTCTTCTGCAAGGAGTCCATGGGGAAAACAATTGGAGTTGACACATTGTTTTCACTGGGACGCACACTGTGTACACACACACCACACACACACACACACACACACACACACACACACACACACACACACACACACACACACACACACACACACACACACACACGAGAGAGAGAGAGAAACATGTGAAGCAGCTGGTCAATCAATACTACAGAAAATGTGAAATATGTTATATTACATTTTTAAAACATAATTTCTCACGTTTTTCTTTACAAAAGAAGGATTTCCCATATACAACTGCACTGCATACTGCTCTAGAGGAGAGGTGTATGGAAGGAGACTCACGGTGTGGAGGTGGTTGACTCCCCCTCACTTTCCTCGGCTGCGCTGGTGTAGAACTGTAACAGCTCATCTTTCATGGACAGGTCGTGACGCACCTGAGACACCTATATGTGTACAGATACAGAGGGAAATAGAGACGGCCACAGCTCTAATGTTGCACTGCTCCAAAATCAGAGACCATAACAATGTTCCAAAAGCTGTAAGGTGGTATAAAACTGATGGTGACAAAATGTGTACCTCCTCTCGAATGTGCTCCACTTGCTCCTCCAGCAGCTCGTTCCTCTCACTGAGGGTTTTGTTTTTCTTCAGCAGCGACTGTCCGATGCGAGCTGCTAACTCCAAGTCGCGCTCTTTCTGCACCGAGGAAAGAGTTCAGTTTAGCTTTTCAAGTCAAAACAAGACATTTTCAAATAATGAATGTCTATTCCAATTGAATGATGGCAGTGTGCATTCGTCCTATTGGAACAAAGTAAGACAACACAGTAGAAGTAAGAACAATAATACTGCAACATGGTGAAATTAAGAAGTCAACAACAGAGGTTAGAAACGTGGTGTTACACAAGGTTAATCAAGATGTCTTTAACCCTTAAATGGTTTCTGTATCCTGAGGGATGCAGCCATCTCACAGGCTCTGTGCATTTTTTAAATGGGTGTAATATTGGTGTAACATGGGTCAATAAGTGTAATAATGTGATAGTGTTAAATTGGTGTAATATAAAAATAGTAGTATCATATTATTTTACAATATTTATGTGATTGCCCATTTAAGGGTTAAAATCCTTCACACTGAGCTACAGTATAATTACAGCTTATTATAAATGTGTACAAGGACTGCCAGGCACTCCTGTTTCTCGGAATGTCTGGTTGCGATCAATAACAATGGCCGTTGCTACTGAGCAACACAGAAGTACACGGCTGTTTAGAACATACATGTAAGGATTAACTTAGTGTACGGTAACAAGAGTCTGCATGGTGAATGTTAATGCTTTGTGAACCAAAGTAGTTCTCACAGCAGTGCAGGTCAGTACAATGATCTCTCTCTTAGGGTCCGTTTGTTGATGATGCCACAGCTCTGAATCCCATGTTTAGGTAATGGCTAGCTCGCTGGCTTTTGAATTTCATGGATCATTTAACAATGACACCATTCTGTTTCCACATTTTTTTATTAATGCAGAGGAAGCCGTATGAGCTCCTTACCAGCAGCTGATGTGGATTAATTAAGATTTGAATATCAGCCGCTGCCGGCAGCTATTTTATGATACCATGAAGCTCATAAAGCAACCTGTGTTCAGACCACATACTGTACAGTAGTTATGACATGTGGCCTCTAAATCTGCATGCACTGTACTCCTCTGTGTTTTTTTCAGCTTGAACTAATCTCACCTCTTCCAGCAGTCGAGTGACAGCATCAATGTCACTGTAGGTCTTCGTCATCTGGCCCACCCTGTCAGCACACAGTACTGCACACAAAGAAAGACAAGGAAATACAAAGGCTCAATACAAGACTCCCCAAAGATTACTGAATAGATGATGCACTCAATAATAAACTACCATGTATTAAAATGTGTGAAATCATCACATTCATCCCAGATATCATGGTTTCTCAACAGCATATTTAGCTCTTCTTTACAGTATTTCAGACTATAGTATACTCCCAATGTTGGAACAAAGTCAAAATGTGTTGAGTTTTTATAAGTACAGTAGGTGACAGAAAGAAAACCTGTAGTGGCATAGGATGTAGGGTACACAGTAACTGATGTGTTGGTGCTTAATTCTTTAGAATTATGGATCCTTTTTAAAATAATGAAACTTATATTAACTTGCCTTAAAAGTAGTTTCCATATACACACACCAGTTTAGTAGAATATAAGGTACATCTACATCAAGCGAATGCAGTCTGACACAGCAGCCTTTCAAAAAATCATATCCTTATCAAATTCCTAACATTAGTTTTTTCTTTGAACTGTTTTAGAGATGTTGATACGATGGTTGTAATGCATTACAGTTGTGTTTCCAATATTTACCCTTCCGTGTTTGATACAAAGGGTCAATTGAGGATTGAATCAGATTACCCAGCTCAAGATAACAGGATTCTGAGTGCTGCTATCACGCAATGCTGCTACGTGTTAGATAACATACTGTAGTTTAAATGATAAATAAACAGCCTCCCCTTGTGCCATGCTGTTCCTAAGAAGTATACACCCACGATTATAAACCTTTCCTCCACTATTCATACCCAGTGATTCAGAAAAGATAAGTGACCTAATGTGAAGACGAACCACACCCCTGCTCTGCTACTTCAGGTACACATGTTATCAACTCCTGCCATTGATACAAAGCTCGGACTTTAAATTAATCATTTAACAATCCAGACGGGGAGGTTATTTACCTCAGAAGCAAACTTTAAAACAGGCTGTTGTTGATGGAATACATCACATTAAACTGTGTGTCTCTCTTTCTGTGGCAAAATATCAAGGAAGGGGCATTCTGAGGAAAAACGATATCCTCTTCTGGAGAGTCACTAGTTTAGGTCTATTAGATCATGTGGATTGGGTTGTTCTGAAGTTACATTCTCACGTCCGTGTTTATAAAATGACTGGGTTGGGATATTTATTTTTGTCTTGTTAGTCACTTTTAACGCCGTCAGTTGGAGGAGGTGTATTGTCCAACATCACATAATGTGTTATACCGGGAAGCACAGCGAGATAATGATACACGCTTTAAAACATTTTAACTATCTCAGTTTTACAGATGTAATAATTAACTTCAGCTTAGAAGGACCAATGTCATGTCAGGCTACACAGTGGAGCTAACTTATAGGCCTCCAAGAATGCAAAACAGCGTCAGCTAATGCAAACAACATATTTTCATATCCTTATTCATCACAGGCAGTGCACTGTATGGCAGCTGGACACAAGGCCTCAGTCGACTATGCTTTAGTTAAAGATATTTCCATTATTATCATCCATTATTTCATTAGCCTCTCTATTCCACACAGACGAGGTCCAATAAGCATGCATGAAACTTAGCAGCTTCAGAGGCATAATGAGATCATACACTTGATAGCAAAAGGTGCAGCCTGTTTACCTGTCATACTGTGTGTGTGTGCATGTGTGAGCGCATGCCCTCTTCTATACATCACCCTGCTAGTTTATTTTTTTATTTCCATCATAAAGCCATCCAAGTTAGATTAACAAGGGGGTACAACTACAAATATAGAGAGCCTTTATAATGATGGTGGACAGGTCATGTCTGCAAACTGGTCATAAATGGGTGGTGAAAGGAAAAGGAGAGGACAAGAGGTTAGAGGAGGCCAATGTAACCTGGATAACTTTAAAGGAGATGCAACTTAATATTGGAACGTGATCTGGATGCTTTCTTGGTGTTTATACGCACAGCAGGTAACTTAAGATAGAGCCACTCACTTCTATCCCTCTCTTTGTTCTATTTTCAGGAACGATAAAGAGGGGAAAATGTTTCATTTCAGTCAACTGTACCATTTATGTCACAACAAGTGTAATGTTAAAAGCAACCCCATAAGATACGTTTGGTGACTTTGAGTTCTGAGTTGAAATGTAATTAAAGCTCAATAGGGAGCAATGAGCAGACTCCTGGTGGAGCCAGACGTCTGCAGTTTGGCTCCGTCAGCCCCCATGCTGCTACAGGGCAACAGGCAACACACAGGTTCAAGGACAACAGACAGAAAGAAGCCACTGTTATTCGAATCAATGACCAAAACACAGCCCATGTTAAAATGTAATGTAATATATACCACTGAGTACTGTTCCTTATTGGACCTGTGTTGAACTTCATCGCCAATATATAACATGTTGATGCCTAATTAACCTCTGTATCTCATGTATACTTTATGTTTATGTCATTTTACTTTCAGTTCACCAGGTTACTAAGAAGTGCTCCATTAACCTTTAGTACAAGTCTTACACATCTCTATATTATTCATATTTATGTTGTGTCTTTATCTGCTCCTGTGTCTCAGCTTTCTTTCTTACAACGTCCGTAAAAAGTCTGGATTGTTACTGTGAAATTCCCAAAGGGATTACGCACAAGTGAAAATACTTTAATATAATGTAAGAAGCTTTGGCATTATTAAATAGATGTATAATGTAGCATGCTGGCACTGCAGTGACAGCTGGAAAGAAAACAGCCCAACCCATATTTGAACATGTCAAATCAGACCGACACCAACATTAAGGACTGCACTACCAAGATAAAGAAAGCACCCATAGGAGACTAAACTCCCTCTGAAGGGTTACACAAGTACAATAATCCTTTTCATGACCCTCATAGCAAGAGCCAAGCACAACTCAAAGAAGACTACCTTCACACAGAACCTGTTGCTCTTCATCCATCTCCTCTTCCTCCTGCTCTGTGCTCTCCTCACCGGGATGACACACATGCTCCTCTTCTTCTTCTTCTTCTTCCTCTTCTTCATCCTCAAGCTCAGTGCTTTCATGACTAGGTAGACAAACATATTCCTCGTCCTCCTCTGACTGCTGGGAGTAGTCCATCCTCCCCTCTGGCCCTGAGGCTATCCTCTAAACCACGAAGCCTGCAGGTGTTTCGCCATGGCTCCTACCTGTTCCGTGTGCACTTCAGGGTGTTTTTACTCCACAAATAAAAACCTAATCTGTGTGTGCCAAAGACGACAGTAGGTGTGTATAGTGGATACCGTATCCACTGTACATGACAGCCAATGTCTGTCTGTCAAGTAACAAATCATGTTTGCTGAGTGACTTTCTAAAAGTGTGTGTGTGTCATTTGTTCCCAGAGGTAGCCCTGTGAGACAACCAGATAACCTGACTCCTCCCTTTCTCCTCTGTGACTGGTCAGTGAACGGGCTATTCCATTTGACCACAGACTGAGGGGTGGACACACAGACATGTACTGTGTGTGTATATATATATAGGAATCTGATATTGACAATCAAAAAAGTAGTTAAAATATGTTTTAACTCAACACATGAGAGCTTTGACAGTAATCTGTACTATGTATCTCTGCCATGCTCAACCTGTCAACTAGGGTTGCATATCGTTGACTTTTTTACTATACTGATGCTCAACCGATACATATCGTGATACTTTCATGTTGCATAAGAGAAAAATTGAATCATCCCGCAATTACTCCCATGAAGCGCTTTATGATGTAGTTAACATGTCAAATGAATATTAAAATTAATTGTGGGACTTGGACCCTTTAGTACTGAGTAAACAATGAAACACACGTTATCTATGAAGAAAACAGATTCTGAAATATCATTTATAACAACCATCAGGTGTGAATAGTACATCTTGTCAATGGAAAAAGAAAATAGCACCAGTATAATCAATATTCAACCTGAGATTCGACTGACCAGAGAACACAAAGGATCATGAGATCTCGGCATTGCACATAAAACAAATGGCATCATTAAAATCAACATTTGCCTGATGAAAGAAAACAAATCCCATCACAGTTCAGTTTTGTGCATTCATCTTCAAGAAGATGAGCATATCTGCTCTCTGGATCCAAACGGGCCCTTTCACAGCATAGGATATCACCTGCTGAACTGAACACTCTCTCGCTTGGCACGCTGCTTCCCTGAACACAAAGGTACTTGGTTGCCATACGAGACAGCATTGGTTGGAGGCAGTGGTGTAGGGATCGCCGTCCCCCCACTTATTTGGAGCCCCCACTGCAAATCAGGGGGGTGTGTGTGTCTACAGAAGGTCCAGTTGTGATAGACACGGTTCGCCACTGCATTTGAAGCGTGTGTGAGGGGCAGCGCCGTGTGTGTAGGGTGACCTGGGGCCTCATTTATAAAGGGATATACGCTCAAAAAATGGCGTACGCCAGTTTCTACGCAATGTTTGCGATTTATAAAATACTAACTTGACGGGAAAACGTGCGGTCCTCCACGCAAACTCTAACCCATGCGTACGCACTAAGCACAACCATGGGAGGAACGAGAAACTGCGACACCGTTGGCAGAAGGAAGAATGGAGAGAAATGTGTGGAAATAATAACAAATAATACCATAAATAAAATGTTACCTCTCATTTATCATATATGAAGAGGAGACGCTGCGCACAGCTGATCGACAGCTGGGACACAAACCACCAAATACAAAAACATAATTCAGTTCAGTCGTCATGACTCCACTCCGGAGGGATTCCCCGATCATTTATTACAGTCTCTCATCAAGGGGGGGTCTCCTGTCCCCGGTACAAACACACTGCCTGAGGAAGGCTATGTGTATTTGTTTTGTCATGAACCTTTTTCGGACCACTTATTTATTTATTTTGGTGACGATCCGACCTCCATGCTGCTACTCTGGTTCAAACTGCATCCACCAAACAATATGATTTATCTCGACCTCCCCAAAATAACCACAATCTGACACGGTGTGAGATGTCTTTTTTAGCTGCTCTGTCGTCATTTCCTGCGCTCTTCTTCATGCAGT